ACTGCATGTAAGGGCACCAAATTACCAGTAAATCACATTGCTGGATACTATAATTGTATAGCTCAATAATAGAATCAGATGGATCACCTTGTCCATCATGCACGTTGAGTGGATAATTTAATGTATGGTATTCCATTCTTTTTCTTCATGTTCCTCCCTCCCCATTTCCCGCTCCCACTAGAGCAAATTGATCTTAGACATATAAAGTATACCAGTCTTTGCAAGACATTCTGCTGGGAGCTAAGAGCATACTAAGTTGGATGCCAGGAGACCATGAATTTAAATTTTATCCCTTATGATGATGTTCATACTTCCATGTACTTCACAGTCCTTATGCTGAGCTGTGTCTTAAATCCCAATTCTAAAAGGCAACCAAGATTTAGCCTCCCATTTTACAAACAAGAGAATTGAGCATGGAATCCAGGTCTCTAGTATGGGAGGCTCAATTCTTATACATTGAGCCATGCCACTTTTCAAAGTGAATTGGCCAAATAATGTGATTCTGTTATCCTATCTCCAATCGTTACATCACTTTCCTAGATCAGAGCTAAGACTTGAAATCAGCTGCCTAGAAAATAGTTGTGTAATACTGGCAAGGTGTGGTCCAAGTCCTGCTCTAGTGGCTGGTTCACAGAGTATCAGTTACTTTTGTAGTCCAGGCGGTAGAGTCTGGGCTAGGATTCTGAAGATCTAGAATTCAAATCCAGATGATGACCCATAAATAGGGGGACAAAATAGTTGCATGTGATTGAATATATTATTTAAAAAACTGGAAAAAGTATTTAATTCACTTTAAAAAAACTTTAAAAATGACTGGTCCTGCAGAACCTTAGAAATAGTATCATGAACTTTCGTGGGCACAACCCACTTCTTCAGATGAATGGAGCAAGGAGTCCAGAGATACAAATAAATAGCTCCAGCGGTTGGCTGAGTTAGTCTGTACAGGATAAACTTAAAAAACAACAAATAGTCTGGTAGCACTTTAAAGACTAACAAAACATGTAGACGGTATCATGAGCTTTCGTAGGCACAGCCCACTTTTTCAGATGACCAGAGTTTTGAGGTTAGGATATGCTGCTGTAAAAGATGGAGAGGAGAAGAAAACCAACCGTATCAATTAAAGTGTCCATGCTAAATGAGGCCAATAGAATGGGCTGTAAGTGCCCGATACTTAGCTTTTGATGTCATTTGGGTGTTGAATGTAATGGCCTAACCAGTTCATGTCTTTGGTCCAGTCTTTGGTTAAATGACAAAATGAAGGCAAGTTCCATGGGGGTGTGTGTGTGTGTGTGTGTGTGTGTGGTGTGTGTGTGTGTGTCAGTCAGTGGGAAACAGTATCATCCTGATTGACTGTTATACCACGTTCCACGCAGGTCCTACTGAGTGTTTTGTATATATTTATAAATAAGTAATTTAGATTATACAGGGCCAGTATAAATAGAAAATGCATAGCCTCATTTAGTCTGGTGCTAGTTAAGGGGTAATTGCCCTTATTCAGGACAATTTATTCTTTAGTACTGAAAACTTCCCATGTTGGATTTTTTTCAAAACCGTGTGAGAGGGCGTCCCTTTATTGTGTTGCTCTCAAGATCTAGTTGTTCTGAAGCTATGTGATTAGTTATAATATGGAACGTGGGTTTAGTGACCCTATTTTTAAACCCTATTTTTGCAAAAGGTCAAAATCCATTATTTAATACAGCATATAAAAATTCCTCTGAATCAAATCCTTTTCTGTATTTAGGTTTAGAGGGATATAATGGTTTATTTTACATTTTTGTAGTGACATGATTAAAGTCTTTTTACAGATATGTTTTGGGTCTGTTTTTGTTTTCTGACACAAATGTGTCATGTTACCACCCCCATTTAATATTTTTAAAACAATATCCTCATGGGGATGTGCATTATAATAGTACAATATATTGACTTCACTTATTTAGCTGTTTGATGTGTAAAAGTTAAAGCATACAGATGTTGGTCAGACATCAGTTTAAACAGGAAGTTGATTCAGTTAACCCATAGAGCTCTTTATATTACAAAATTACTTTTTCCTTGCCTGTTTTGTTTTGGTGTGAGTTGAAATAATGCAGGCATCAAATACTTGAAGCCGGAAGTGGAATTACAGTTTCTGCACTCTTGTTTCCTCTGTTTAGCATGAGTTATGCAAGACATACGCATTCATATAGGCATCATATTTATCTGTAATGGTTCAGATCATATCATGTTGAATGTTCTGTAGCAACCAGCATGTTTACAGAGTAGTATTGTATTCCTATGCTGCTAAACTAGTCACATTGGGTCAGATTCACCCTGATGCAAACAGGTGTATCTCATAGACATATACCAGTAGTGAATTTGACCCCAATAGCTCAATTCAGCAATGTGTATTTGTGATGGATGGGAGGAATACTGCCTAAAGGCTTAAACTCAGAAGATCTTTGAAAAAAAATCCGGGAAGTGTTGGCAGGGAGCCAGGAGAACCAATGAGAAGAAAGTGTTGAGATTTGAATTGAAAGGAATCTGCATGCTTTCTTTTTTTGGGGGGGAGGGGCTGAGGGAAAAGATTAATTGAACCACAGGAATACCCATGCCCATACACCTGGACCTAGAAATGAACTGGATCTTGAAGATATGGTTATGTACAGGGCTCGCCAAACTGCGGTGAGCCCCACTCGCCAGCCACACTGTCCGGCAATCTGCGTGTGCGCAAATCGTTCTGCACATGTGCAGGTCGCCCGAACCCGGCTCTTCCAGGTTGCAATCTACTCGCCATGCGTGAGTAGATTGTATCATTTGTCGAGCCCTGGTTATGTACTTGATGGACATGATCAGGTTATTTTCTTTGTTTTGTTGTTTGGTTAAACTCCTCAGTGGTAAGTCCATGTGCCTCCCTCCCATACTCTATAATAAAAGTTGAATCCCAGTGAAGCAATTCTCTGAACTAAATTTAATCTGTTTTTTTTCCCCTCAACTGCTTTATCACACCTAGCAACCAAATGTGCTTTACCAAATAAATCTTTTTGTTTTGTTAATAAAATCACTTTTAAGGCTATGATCTGATTCTTGTGTCCTGGAAAAGTAATGAGATATCTATATATGCATGCCTAAGACTGAAAAGTAAGCTATCAGAGATTACAGTTGTTTTCATTGTCCTTTTTTCCCAAGCTCTCTGGTGGTAACAGAGCTTAAGCTACCTCTCTGGAAGAAGTTTCCAAGCAAATCTTCCTGGGTTCAGAAGAAAGTTGTTGGTTTTTTTCCCACTTGGGTGTTGGCAGCATACCACCCAAGGTCAGGAGATCTGTAACCTTGGGGAGTTTTTAAAACAGAAGCTTTGGAGTCAAGGTATTTTTAAGGTCTCTTGCTGGCCCCCACCTTATGCACTTGAAGTGCTAGAGTGGGAAAGAGCCTTGACATTCCATATTTTCAAGGTCCAGTCCATTTCTAAGAGGTATTCCTCTTTTGGGCATTGGTATTCCTGTGGTTGTTTATCTTTTCCCCCCCAGCTCTTGGTTTAAAAATTCCCAAAAAGAAAGTAGGGATGTTAGAAATGATTTAATTAGTAATCATATAACCCCACCTAGGGTTGCCAGGTGTCCAGTATTGGCTGGACAGTCCAGAATTTTCGCCTCCTATCTGGTAAAAAAAATTCAGAAAATACTGGACATCTAGTCCCTGGGTCTTAGTGCACAACCACTCCCCTGTTCCTATCCTTATTATACTCTACACTGTCTCTGAAAGAGACCATGCTGTTTTAATGCTGTTCTATTATTTGATTTTTTTTTTGATTAATAAGTCTCAGTGTCCTAACTTTGGGGGGTATTTTTGGTACGACCATCTCGCAACCTTAACCCCAACAATTCTTAGTGATTACACAATTATTCAATGGCCCCTGAGGGTGGGGCCTGCAGCCATTGTGATCCGAGGTCCACTTCTAGGGATCCCCCTGCTACCCCATGCTGCTGCCTCTGTTTAAAAATTGGCTTCATATAAAACTCAGACTGGGGGCTGGGAATGAGTCAGCCTGCCAGTCTGAGTTTTAAATGCATTCTGCCTGTGTAAGGGCATTCTCTTACTGTGACAGTATAAAGACTTATCCTTTGACTAAGCAGCAAGGGCAGTCATAAGCTGGGGAATGTATGGTTGCATCCTCACACATCCCAAACATTGAAATAAGGCAATTTTGGGCTGATAAGGGAAGAGCCTAGAAGATTTAAAGAAAACTTAGGTTGATAGCTTACTGTCTGGGAAGGACCCACTTCAGTAGGTGAGGTTGTGAAATCCTCATTTCTTTATTTTGGCATTATGGTCCCTACTTTTCTATGGTGTCTATCTAGTTCTTTGTTTCTGTCTGGTGTAGAATCATAGAACACTGGAACTGGTAGGGACCTTGAGAGGTCATCCTGCCTTCACGGGCCAAGTTCCTTGTAGACCATCTCTCATAGAGGTCTATCTAATTTGCTCTTAAATATCACTAGCATTGGAGATTTCACAACCTTCCTAGGCAATTGATTCATGTTTAACCACCCTGACAGGAAGTTTTTCCTAATGTCCAATCTAAACCTCCCTTGCTGCAATTTAAGCTGATTGCTTAATTTTGCTAGGTGTAAACTAGGGATGTTAAATATTGACTAATTGAATAATCGATGCATTTTTCCATCAGTTTGCCTCCACCTTTTAAGTGTAGCAGCAGCCCACTGTAAAGGTGAAAGTGCCACATGGAGACTGGGGTCAGCTGGCCCTGGTCTCCATGCAGTACTGTCGCTTTGAAGTATCCCTTCCTCTTCCCCCGTCCCTCCGCTGCCTCTTTCTGATAGAGGCAGCAAGTGCGGGGAAGTGACTAGTCAACTAGCCTGTTGACTATCCAATAAGCATTTGCTTATCCGACTAGTCCTTCACATCCCTAGTGTAAACCAATTAAGGTGGTAGGATATTGGTTAGACAATTGTGTTATAATTAACCAATCATAACATTTTGTATTTCAGTAAAATCATTGGTTGAGGTATAGCTAAGAATATCTATATATTTGAGTATCAGAGGGGTAGCTGTGTTAGTCTGAATCTGCAAAAGCGGCGAGGAGTCCTGTGGCACCTTATAGACTAACTGAAGTATTGGAGCATAAGCTTTCATGGGCAAAGACCCACTTCGTCAGATGCAAGGCCACAAAAGCTTATGCTCCAACACGTCAGTTAGTCTATAAGGTGCCACAGGACTCCTCGCCACTTTTATATATTTGAGATTTCTCTGTCTGTGTGCGAGTCCATTTGTTCAAGAACTTCTCCTAAATGGTAAAAGCTAGGATCACAAAATTTGGTATGAAGCTTCCTCTTATCCTGACTTAAAGCAAGGTTAAGGTTTGGTTGTGCCAGAAAAACAGGATGTGCCTGGCATTCAATTGTTTTTAATTAACATAGAAAGAGAGGGAACTGATTGGAGGGACGTGATACTTCACAGTGACCATTGGGGACAGCAAGCCATACATGAGGTACGGCTATACTGCAGCATGACCACTGGGACAGCTGTACTAAGAAGGGAGTGGCCAGCTGACCACCGGCTCAGGAGAGTGGTCCCTTAGCTCCAAATCTTTTCCTTCCGCCCCAGTGCTGGACTGTGTGTGTGGGGGGGGAAGCCCTGCCAGCCCCAATGCTGCTGTCCTCTCCTCCCCCCTCCCCCGGAGCACCGCTTCCCCCCGCCCACACACGCACACAAACAGCCACCCCTGGGTCAGACCCAGCCAACACCGGGTAAGTCTTATAGTTACTATATAAATCGGGGGCAAATGGGAAGTAAGTTGGGGGAAAAGGAAACTGGATTCCTGCTTGATGGAAGCTAAATCCAATAAAATTGAATTGTCTGCATCTCCAGATTTTCGGTATTGCTGTTCCCTGTTAACATGAATAGGAACTGGGAGGAGGAAGGGATAAGCCCTCTAAAATCATCCCATTGTCTTTTTGAGCTGCACAAAGACTTGGAAGGCTACAGGTGCTGACTCTATTGATGGTTAACTTCTTTCAAAAGATTATAATAGAACTCTAGATAAGAAAACAGAAGCAGAACCTATTGGACAAGGAATTGTTGTCATATTACCACCAGTGTTACCTCTAAGATTTTTCCATCCGTGAACAGAGTGAGTTTTGTCTTGTGCACCAATACTGACTGCCCCTCTGCCCAGTACCCTCCACTCCTATTGCCCAGCAACATCCATCTCCATTTGCCCCTTGCCCTCTGGCTATGGCACCCTGGGCATGGGCCCTGCAACAAGGAAGCCACCCACCACGCAGCTCTGGCCCAGACACTCCAGCTGTGCCCCAACCTCCACCCGTTTTGTCTTGTGCACCAATACTGACTGCCCCTCTGCCCAGTACCCTCCACTCCTATTGCCCAGCAACATCCATCTCCATTTGCCCCTTGCCCTCTGGCTATGGCACCCTGGGCATGGGCCCTGCAACAAGGAAGCCACCCACCACGCAGCTCTGGCCCAGACACTGCCTCCGTCTGTCTGGCTGCAGAGCTGCCACTGCCACCCACCATGCAGCAGCTCTGGCCCAAGCCGCCGGAGCTGCTGCTGCCACCCACCAAACCGGGAACCACTCTAAATTGTGGATAACCAATCTAAATCCAGCAAGAAAGATTAGACAGCATCAGCTCTTTGGGGAGGACTCTTTCTTTTGTATGACTGTACAGTAGCACGAGCAAGTACATTGTACACTGAGTGAGGCCCCAATTTTCATGTATGACCCAGTTAAGACAAGCCATCCTACTTTGCATATTAAACAGCCCTAGCTATTTCACTTAGGCACCCACTGCATTGCTTCCCTTAACTCATGATTAGTGAGGCACTAGGCTTCTTCAGAAATGAGGACAGGAAAAAGCAAATAAGTTTCAGAACTGTCATAAGTGTGTTTGTTGGATGTTGCAGGAGATTAGAAAATTCCTCTCTCTCCATGCTAATATGCAAAGCCAGAACACCACCAAGCCATCTTAAAGCCTGCGAAAGCAACAGCTGAAGTGTGAGGGGTTTGAATGGCAAAGCTGCTGTGCTGGAATGAGGTGCCCATTCTGCAGCAAGGAAGCTAGGAACGTTGATAAATGAATAAGGTGAGGACAAGTGGACAACTGCACAGAGTGGGAGTCCTGTAGCTCACTGCCAAGCCCAGCCTCTGGGTTAAAGAGCAGGCTGCGATTTTCCCTTCTCAGAGCTGCCCACTCCTAATGGACCGGCTCCTCTTGTGACCCACCTCTTGTTGCCAGGCAGAATGGGAAAGAGAGAGGCAAGAGCTACCCTATAGTCCCATTGTTTAATGCACTCAAGCAAAGTGCTTTTCCCTGTACCCAGCAGGGCAGCATTTGAACCCCATGCCAGAGGAACCAGGGAGGGCTGAGAAGTGCTGGACAAGCTGGTAGCTTGAAGGTGAAATACTGCAGCAAGTTGCTTCTGAAATGTGAGTTTCTGGTGTACTTCAAGAACAGGATTGGTCCTGCCTTGGGCAGGGGGCTGGACTTGATGACCTCCCTTCCAGCTCTATGATTCTAACTAGCTACTGTTGGGATTTTGTGGTTCCCAGAGAGTCAGGTGCTGGGCAGAATCAAGGGTCTTCTATAATTCAATTCAATTCAACAAGACTTTATTCAGTGTGCACAAATGGAGAGCCCCTGGTACTAAAATCAGCCAGAGCCCCTCGAGCAAGGAGCCCCTCCCCTTGCTGTTTTATAGCACATGGCAGTTACATAACAGGTTACATAACACAAACTTCTAAACCAATCATATTCAACCTTTCCATATATGGCTTTGTTTGTCACATGCTTGTACTTCTCCACTCCACGTGTTGAGTTCACCCCCCTCCCCTTGGCCTTTTCTAGACTGTTCCTAGGGTGGTGAGCCACAGCATGCTTCTTTATGCATATCTACTTTCCAAACCACATTTTGTTTAAAATGAACACATGCGTACCCTTCATTACATAACCAGGACTTGAGAAGGCAGGCTGGGGGATCTGACTCCAGGCAGGCCCGTGTGCACAAATTTCTGCAAGGGGTGCTTTTTTTGGTAAATGTGGACTGCAAGGGTGTGATTGTGCCCCTCCCCTCACCCATGATCCCCAAGTACACGGGGAAATCAGTCCCAGCCTTCCCCCAGCTAGCCAGAGCATGGGGGAGGGAGGCTTGGGCAGTGCACTGCTCCTACCTTCCTCTAGCTGGCTGAAGCACGGTTACTTGGAGGACCATGAGAGATGCATTCACACCCTTCGTGCACACACCCTGCATCTGGGCCTGCTGGGTCTGATATACGCCTGGTGAAAAACAATATTTTTTCCTGGCAACTCAGTAAACACTACCTGGGGTCTGAAAGCCAACTTACTGTCTAGTTATACCTCATCACCAGCAGGACAGGTTGCACTGGCCACGTGGCTATTACCCTGAATAGGAGTTTGCCAGCAACAGACCCTCAGGACTAGCCACTTGGCCAAATTTTCAATGCAGCCCCCAGACTGGGAGTGACGGCTGGCCTGTGGTGAGGAGGTTGCTGGCTCATCTTTGGGGTGCTCCCCCTGCCTTCCATTCTCTACAGAAACTTCCCAGTGTCACCTGCTCCCTGCTGCAGCTTTTTTGCTACTTTACTCTGAGCAGCTGCTCCCATGTGGCGTCCTCTTGCTCTCCATGCTGTGGTTGCAGCCATCAGGGAGGCTGCCCTAGTCACAGGGCCAGCACTGGCCACTTCTGTGGGGCTAGAGAGCCATACTAGTTCTTCCTTGTGTGCTGCACTGCAGAGTAGTTCAGGCGAGACCTGTGGAGCCTACGCTGAGCTCAGCCCATCCCATGGGGGTAGATGCACCAAGTGCCTGGGGCTATGCCTGGCTGCTGCCATTGGGGATGGGCTGCTCACATCCCTCATGGCTTTCTCCAAACATGTGTTGGTCGGGCACAATAGAAGCTGTCCTGGCCCTGGTGGCTCCGGCTTCCTTGGCCTGGTTCAGGTCGAGCCCAGTGCTGCCTTGCAGCTAATGCAGCCTGGTCTAGGCCCCCACTCCAGCCTGACAGTCCCAGCTCAGCCTCTTCGCAAGCTGCACCAAACATTGTTACAGACTGGGGACTCACTGGCTAAGTAGCAGTTCAGCAGAAAAGGACTTGGTGATTACAGTGGATGAGAAGCTGGATATGAGTCAACAGTGTGCCCTTGTAGCCAAGGCTAATGGCATATTGGAGTGCATTAGGAGGAACATTGCCAGCAGATCTAGAGAAGTGATTATCCCGCTTTATACAGCACTGGTGAGGCCACATGTGGTCTACTGAATCCAATTATGCCCCCCCCCTAGAAAGGATGTGGCTGCATTGGAGAGGGTCCAGTGCAGGGCAACCAAAATGATTTGGGGACTGGAACACTTGACCTATGAGGAGAGGCTGAGGGATTTGGGCTTATTTAGTCTGCAGAAGAGAAGAGTGAAGGGGGGTTTGATAGCAGCCTTCAACTTCCTGAAGGGAGGTTCCAAAGAGGATGGAGGAGGCTGTTCTCAGTAGTGACGGATGGCAGAGCAAGGAGCAATGGGCTCAAGTTACAGTGGGAGGAGGTCTAGGTTGGATATTAGGAAGAAATATTTTACTAGAAGGGTGGAGAAGCACTAGAATGGATTTCCTAGGGAGGGGGTGGAATCTCCATCCCTAGAGGGTTTTAAGTCTTAGCTTGACAAAGCCCTGGCTGGGTTGATTTAGTTGGGATTGGCCCTGCTTAGGGCAGGGGGCTGGACTCGACCTCCTGAGGTCTCTTCTAGTCCGAGGATTCTATGATTCTAGTTCACTCAGGTGGATGACCCTGCGCAACAGGACAGTGTTAATGGTGCTCACCACCTGCAGAAGGAGATAAACAAAACAGAGAATCAAAGGAGCTGCCAGAGCCCTTGGGAGGTTCCTGAGCCCTTCCTTCCCCCCACAAACACCCCAATAGCCAGCCCATATGAAGTCTGCCTCCCTCCGCAGGGCTGTGTGAGGGTAGGACTGCAGAACCCCTGCACCCTCAACTCCCCCCTTTCCCTAGGGTCCCCCTTTCCAGTACTCCTCCCCTGTCCAGGGACTGCAGCACGAGAGCACCACACCTGCATGAGGATGGCCCCAGCAATCAACTTTCCCATGCCAAACTGGTTGCCCATAGACTGGTAATTGTCGGGTATGGAGAGCTTCCAGACGGCGATGGTGACCTGCTTCTCCAGGGGGATGACTGGTTGTATCTGGGTATCCCGTCGTCAGAGGGCAGGGGCGAGTCAGGCACACAGCTCTAGGAATGTCTCCTCCTTCATGTGGAAATTTTCATGTGGAAATTTCCCACCACTCCATCACCAGCCAGTCCCACCAGTTTGGAACTGGTGTCCATCCTCCAAAAGCGTTGCTCCACGATGGGGTGCGGTTGCAAGGGCATTGCTCTAGCACACAGACAGAGGTTCTCAATGATTAGCTCGGGGTCGAACTCATGTAGGGCCATGAAGGCAGCCTGCAGAAACTGCAGCACGGCAGCATGGGACCATCGCATGTCCAGAGGCAGCTTTGGCTCAATGGCAAGGAGTGCTGTGGTGTCCAAAAGCAGGGCAACCAGAGCATTCAGTGGAAATGCTTTGCTGACCCTCAGAGAGGCAGTGTGGTGTCCAAAAGCAGGGCAACCAGAGCATTCAGTGGAAATGCTTTGCTGACCCTCAGAGAGGCAGGCAGCTCCCGGAAGCAACTGCTGACCTACAGCCCTGCTTGAAATGGTTCTGGTTGGCCTTAAATGCAAGATAGCGTCCAATCAGTGTGGATGCTAGCTTTCAAAATAGCAAATTACTATTTTGTTGCACTTTTTGGGTGTAGACGCCCTATTTCAAAATAAGCTTTTCCGGATAAGCTTATTCTGAAAGAAGCTTGCAGTGTAGACGAACCCTTAGAGACTAACCAAAAAAATATAGATAGTATCATGTGCTTTTGTGGGCACAACCCACTTCTTCACATGACATATATCATGGTGACACAGTATTCTTTTTGCACTAGTGTAAATTAATTAGTAAAGTTGCATAGGCTTAAATTCAAGGCAATTTTATTACTGTATGTAGAGTTTTGGTGCCTGGGACTTGTAGGTCCAAGTTATGCCTTGTTGAAATCAGCTGCAGTTTTGCTTGAATAAGGATAGAAGGATCTAGCATGAGAACTAAGAAAAAGTAACCTCCTTTCTGTTTGAGAGAAATTTTCAGACTGTGAGCCTGATCACGATCATAAACATTGGTGGTAGCTCTGAAATAAATGATTAATCATTCTGGAGTGCCTTTGATGATATGTTTTGTACTGCTGTCTAGTATCTGATCCTCCATTTGAATATGAAATCTTTAGGGAAATCTTCAGCAAGAGAGAGTCCAAATGCATGTTAATGTTAATCTTGCAAACTGTAGCGGAGATAATTTTATTGATGATAAAGGTATTCCAGTTGAAACTCTTTGTCCTTGACTTTCCAATACAGCTTCCATGGCCTCTGAAGAATTTATGGGTCTCCCAAACAGCTTTCCACGCCAGAATTCCACCAGTGGCATTTCGCTAGACTTTGAACCTGACGTTGACTACCACTTCGTTGAAACCTTACAGGAACGGTACAAATGTGCCTATTGCCACTTAGTCCTTCACAGTCCTCACCAGACAGGATGTGGCCACAGATTTTGCCAGCATTGTATTATTTCTCTGAGGTAAGAGCAATACAGTTCTCTCTTTTCCCTCTACAAATAATCCCTCCACCTCCAATAATTAATAATAGTCAACATCTTTTGAAAGGCAACAGCAAATGCCATAACAATACTAAAGGACTTAATCCAAAGCCTGAGGAAGTCAGCAGAAAGATTAATTGACTTAAGTAAGCATGGCCTTAATAATAAACCTCGAGACAAATCATATGAGGTGATGCTGTGTGTTTATAATAGTACATAGTCTCTCTCAGTGTAACATGGGGTGAGGGGGTTTGTTTTTGTTCGTTTTTTGCTTCTCACTTGTGTGCGGCCCCCGACTGGTTTTTTTTGTGGGTCAGTGGACCCTGACCCAAAAATGGTGGTTCTTTGAGCATTGTCTCCATGGGTGCTCCACTCTGGGTGCTGGTGCGTCCTCGTGCCAGCAACCAGCGATTTTTCTAGCAGTGTCTGCTGCGCCCCCTTGTGCTGTTGCCTTTCAACATGCGCATGGCTCAGCTCCCTCAGTTCCTTCTCTACTGTCCTCGGCAGCAGACGAAGCTTCTTTCCTTTCCTCTATTTTATGGAGAAATGACAAAAAAAGGTTAATTCCCCTTAGTTTCCTCACATTTCCAAGTTTTAAGCTCCCCACACCCAACCCTATAGCAGAAAAAAAAATTCCGTTGGCCCGCCACTTTTCATTGCACCTAATGCCAGGAACTCCCAGGTTCAAGAGGTGTGAGTTGTGCCAGGATGCCCTGCCTCTGTCTGATGGGCATTCTACATGTATAAAGTGCCTTGGAGAATCGCAGCAAACACAAAAGTGCCCTCGCTGCTCCAAATTGACGGCCAGAGCATGCCACAACCGTGCTAACAGACTAAAGACCTTCCTCTACAAAAGGTCTCTCCAACTACCTTTAGAGGACACAACTGCCTCAAAATCACCATCCAAGCTGAAAGTTATGGACAAATCAAATACCTCTACCTCTTTTGGCAAATCTGTCTCACAAACGAGACTATCTCCAGCCCGAACATTACCCTTGGCATTAACTGCCTCGAGGGTCAGCACCACAGACAGGCCCGGCACATCGAGCATGGTACCGTCCAAGATACCGGCACCGCATAAGAGGGCACACTCAGAGCCCAAACAAAAACAAGAGTCACTGACCACACCATCCACTCGGCATCGAAGCAGCCAACTTGCTCGGCACTGACATCGGCACCAAAGAGACCCTGTGTCAATATGCCACTTCCGGACTAATTGGCACCGCCAACTCCCGTGGCACTGAGCAATACGAGAACCTCAGCACCATCCTAGGAGCATCAATAGCACAATGCTCCTTTTAGGAGCTGCCTCTCACCAGCACCAGTATCTCCAGGCTCCTCCATACAATCGGTGCACTCTAGAAGGTCGCCAAATCTCTCTCATTCCCTGAGTGAAATGGCACCAAACCACGCAGCTGTTTTTCTTCCCAGCACTTCAGCCCGGCACACAGAGCCCCATCCTGGGCCACTAGGCCTGCTACATACGCACCACCACCACTCCGGTATGTGTATACATATCCGCTACCCTCTTACCCGGGGCAATGGCAATCATGGGAGTCACGTCCTCATGTGAAGAGTCATCACATCACACCTTCCATATCACCCAGGGAACGACCTCATTCTCCCTCCTCTACCTCGGTGACAATTCCTAACTCCCCGGTCCAGATGGAGGACTCTTTGTTGGAGAGTGGAGAGAGGTCCCCTGTCCATAATTCGTCATCCTTACCAGATGAGGCGGTAATATCCACCACCACCCCACCAGCAGATGACTCAAAGATGTTCCAAGTGCTTTTTAAAAGGGGGCTTTGGCACAAAAGTGAGACTTGCAGGAAATTCAAGAAAAGCAATATAATCTCTTGCGAACTTTGCGGCCTCTTACCTCCTCCAGAATTGCCCTCCCCAGGGATGATGCGATTATGGACCCAGCAGACAACATCTGGCAGATCCTGGCATCCATCACTCCAACCAGTAAGAGAGTGTATTGAAAATACTTCATCACACCAAAGGGAGTGGATTTTCTTTTTACTCGCCTTCCACCAAACTCCTTGGTAGTTGATTCTGTTAGACACAGAGCCAGACAGCCAAACATGAGATCAACTCTACACAACCAGAACCACAAAAAAAAATATGTATTATGGGCTGCAAAGTATATTCTTTGACTACTTTGCTCCTCAGAGCAGCGAATTATACCACCATTTTAGCAGATCATGACTATTCTAATTATTCCAAACTCCAAAAACTTATACAATACTTACCCGAACACAAGAGGCCTATCCTCTTCAACATTATGCAGGAGAGCCATATAATTTTTCTCACGGTACTACAGTCCATGATGGATGTAGCAAACACAGCTGCATGTGTTACTGCCTCAGCAGTTGTGATGTGGAGAATATCTTGACTCCAAGCATCAGGAGTCCTTAGGGATTTGCAGCAAAAAGTTGAAGGCCTACCCTTTGATAAGACCAACTTCTTTGCAAAAAATCGACAAAGTACTTCACTCGATGAAGGACTCCCACACCACCCGCTGGACCCTGTTTAAGAGAGCCAGATACAACAACTTCTAAAGACCCAGGGAGCCATGCAGACAGCAACCAAGATATGACTTCCGACAAAAGTAAAGACCCCAACAATGTAGGTCTCAGTGCCAGCAACAATACCACATGGCGGTATCCCAACCCCCCTCATCCAAACAGCAAATTTGAAGGGTCAGTCAGGAGCCAGAAAGACACTCTCCTTGTAGTTACACCATCAACCAACCTTCCATAATTCAGTCACTGCCTCCACCCCTTCTTTCAACAATGGGTTCAAATAACATCAGACAAATAGGTCCTAGACCTCATCCACTATGGTTACTCCATCCCTTTCATTTGTCTTCCCCCTACCCATCCTCCCTCTTCAGGGACCCCTCTCACGAGACCCTCCTCGAGCAAGAGGTGCTTCACCTCCTCCACTTAGGTGCCATAGAACCAGTACCAACAGAGTTCCATGGCCCAGGGTTTTACTCAACTTATTTTTTGACATAGAAAAAGAATGGAGGATGGAGGCCCATTCTAGATTTATGGAAGCTCCACAAACACATTGCTTATCAATGATTCAAGATGGTGACCCTGGCAACAATAATCTCAGCATTGGTTCAAGGAGATTGGCTTTCGGCTCTCGACCTTCAAGATGCATATTTCCACATAACAATCCATCCCGCCCACAGATGTTTTCTGAGATTCATGGTTGGCCGTCGTCATTACCAATACCAAGTGCTCCCTTTTGGCCTTTCAATGGCCCCCGGAGTGTTTTCCAAAACTCTGCCTGTTGTAGCGGCATGCCTACGTCATCAGGGAGTCATGATGACAAAACACATGACCAAGACTACCACAAACCTTTTCCTCCGCCTTGGCTTCCGTATAAACTTCGAAAAATCCATGCTCCATCCCACACAGGTGCTGGAATTTATAGGAGCACACATCAATACCATTGCAGCCAAAGTGACTTTACCCACACACAGATTCAACACCCTATGCAGCCTCATAGTGGTAGCACAAACAACCCCTACCATGACAGGTCGCAAATGCCTAAAAATTTGGGTCACATGGTTGCCACAACCTACGTTGTCAGACTGGCAAGGCTCCACATGAGATGCCTTCAGTCTTGGCTCGCTACACTTTGTACCCTGTCCAGAGACCTGCTCTCCAAGTCAGTTACCATTCTGCCACGGATCCTCAACTCCTTGCACTAGTGGATGAATGAACATCTTAACCGGTGTTCCATTCCATCAACCAACCACTACACTTACTATTACGACCAATGCATCACTCATGGGATGGGGTGCTCACCTAGGAGCCTCATGGCCCAGGGCAAATGGTCCTTTACAGAGCAAGCCCTCCATATCAACCTTTTGGAACTGAGAGCAGTACGAAACCATGCCAGCATTTCCTACACTACATAGCTCACAAGACTATAAACATCAAGACGGACAACACCACTTGCATGTATTATATCAATCAGCAAGGTGGTGCAAAATCTCCATCCCTATGTATGGAGGCTCTCAAGCTATGGAATTGGTGCCTGGCACATCATATTACCCCCGTTGCAACGTAGCTCCCAGGGGTGTTAAATGTTACAGATGCCCTCAGTCGCAAGTTTTATGACCATCACGAGTAGGAGACAGACTTGCATGCCCTCAGTTACGTATTTCGCCAGTGGGGTCAACCAGACATAAACCTTTCTGCAAAACAATCAGAAATGCCACCTTTACTGCTCCAGTGCAGCCTTAGGGAAGTGCTCCCTGGGGGATGCTTTCGCCATCAAATGGGATGCACCACTACTCTATGCGTACCCATCCCTTCCCATTCTTCACAAGATCATCATCAAAATCAGAACAGATCAAGCTCACATGATTCTCACCGCACTAGCATGGTCGAGGCAAACATGGTATCCTTACCTCTGCAGAATGACAGTGATGGATCCATATGCTTTTCTGCCTCAACACAATCATCTTCCCCAGAATCATTGCACAGTTGTCCCCCCTCCATCCACGAACTGTACAAACTCCGCCTCCACACTTGATTCCTTCATGGCTCCAGGATGCCAAGAATGTTCTCTTTCAAAGCAGGCAAGAAATAGTAATCAACAGCAGAAGAGAGTCCACCAGGAAAACCTACCACTACAAATGAAACAGTCTCTCCCGGTGGCTTAAATGCACTCACACTATACTCCCTGAGATCTTCCTTCTCTACCTCCTGCTGGACTACCTCTTGCACCTCAGGGAGTCAGGCTGGCGCTAAGTACTATCAAGGTTCATGCAGCTGCTGTAGCAGCCTTCCATCACACCACTGAAGGTGATTCTTTCCTCTCAAACCCAATCACCAAAAGATTCCTTACTGGTATACAAAACACCTTTCTATCCATTCACCTACCAGTTTCTATCTGGGACCTAATTCATGTACTCAAGAGCCTGACAAAGCTGCCTTTCGAGCCCTTGGCAACCTGTCCTTCGTCATACCTATCTATGAAGGTCTCCTTTCTAGTTGCAATAACCTCCAATAGGAGAGTGGGGGAACTTGCCACCCTAATGGTGGACCCTCCCCCCCTTATACAATTTTCACTAAGGATAGAGTGACACTTCAACCCCACCCCAAATTTCTCCCGAAAGTTCCCTCTCCCTTCCACAAAAATGAACCCATACACTTATCTTTGCTTTTCCCCAAGCCACACACTAATCCATCACACGCAGTGTGGCACATCTTCGATGACTGCAGAGTGCTTGCATTCTACATTGATGATATGAGAGCCTGGCAGATATCTCCTAGACTCTTCCTATCTTTTGTGGAACGATCTAAAGGGCAGGCTGTCTCTTCTCAGAGGATCTCCAAGTGAATCTCTTCATGCATCCACACATGCTACACCATCCACAGCAAAGAACCACTGGGCACCGTCACTGCCCATTCCACCAGGGCTATGTCTTCTACAACCTCTGTCCTCAGAAATGTACCTCTCCAGGACATTTGCAATGCAGCCACTTGGTCATCAGACCACACATTCACACAACATTACGCTCTGGCATCCTCCATAGCATCATCCATGGCTGTAAGACAAGCAGTATTATCCTCTGTGACAACAACAGGGCTCCAAATCCGCCTCCATGAGCCAACTACAGCTTTATAGTCATCCAGAGTGGAGCATCCACGGGGACAATACTCGAAGAAGAAAAAGGAGTTACCTTGTGCAGTAACAGTGATTCTTCGAGATGTGTATCCCCGTGGGTGCTCCACTACCCTTCCTCCTTCCCCTGCTTTGGCATCCCATGCTCTACTAGCATGGGTAGAGAAGGAATGGAGGGAGCCACGCTGCGTGTGCACTTAATGGACACCAACGGCACAAGGGGGCACCATGGCACATGTGTGGCACGGTAAATGCTGCTGAAAAAATCTCCAGTCACCGGCATGAGGGTGCACCAGCATCCATGGGGGGACTCATCTCGAAGAACCACTGTTACTGCATAAGGTGAGTAAATCCTTCCTCTCCACCCCTGGTGTAACAGGTTGTCCTTGATAAACAGAAACATTCCTGTCTGGTAGCAGGTGTTGGTCTGACTGGAGGAAGGCTTAAATTGGTTCTGCTGACTCATGGACACTGGCAGCTTGATACCCTCTGAGCAAAGTTTCCTCTAAGCTTCACAGCCCGGTGGGGCCAGCAGGGAGGGGCACCTCTCCCCTAGCCACAGCCCCCAACCCAAAACTGCCCCAGAGCGACCACCGCTGAGGAACAAATGTCCCTTCCATGGCCCCACCCAGTCTAGCCTGGACATGTCCCGGCTGGGGAACAGGCATCTCTCCCCCAGATGAGTCTTCTGGAGTTGTGGTGGCTGTGGGAGAGGTGCCTCTCACCTGGCCCCAGGTGCTCTGGTGAGAGAGGGTTGAGGGTAGTCCTCTCTTCCCACAGCAGCCTGTGCCCTAAGCCCTTCATCTGTGCTCTCGCCCCAGGGCCTGCATCCCCAGCAGAGCCCAGACGCCAACTTTCTGTCCCAGACCTAAGTCTCCTCCCACTTTATGTCCACGTGCAGAATGACTTTTGTTATGTGATACGTTTGTGTAAATAACAAAAGTCATTCTGCACGTGGACATAAAGAGAGGAAACACTCCTCATTGCTTCTGAGGTGTTCTCTAAATGTAAAATTATATTGATGGAAATAAATTGGTTTAAAAACTGAAATGTATATACAGAAAGGGAGTGCATCAGTTTACTTCAGATTCTGTATTGATTTAACTTAATCTGTTTAACTCTTGTGTGTAGATAAGACATCAGCTATTTGGGAAACGGGAGAGACTCATGGAGAGATGAGTGAGTCCTAAAGTAGGCAACGCCAGGGCTACGTCTACATTGGCAAGATTTTGTGCAAATATTTTTTAACGCAAGAGTTTTTGCGTTAGAGTATTTGCACAAGAGCATCTACACTGGCATGTGCTTTTGCGCAAGAGATGTGCTTTTGCGCAAAAGCATCTGTGCCAGTGTAGACGCTCTCTTGTGCAAGAAAGCTCCAATGGCCATTTTAACCATTGGGCTTTCTTGCACAAGAAATTCATGTTGCCTGTCTACATTGGCCTTTTGCACAAGACCGCTTGCACAAGAGGGCTTATTCCTGAGTGGGAGCGTCATAGTTCTTGCACAAGAAGCCCTGATTTCTTACATTAGAACGTCAGTGTTCTTGCGCAAGAACTCCCCGCCAGTGTAGACAGGCAGCAAGTTTTTACGCAAAAACGGCCGCTTTTGTGCAAAATCTTGCCAATGTAGACACAGCCTTCGAGCAATTTAGCCCATACAGTAGGATTGAGATGAACTTTATTCTGGTTCATTTCTCTGTTTATAATAAAATCAAGCCCCTGGAGGGGGACACATTTGGACTCTGCTGAGTGTGTGGACTGTGTTTTGAAGGCAGACTGAGAATGGTACCTACTTCCATTGGGCTAAAGGTACATGTGTCTCACTATACAACCTGTCATTTGGGGATCAAGGAATGTGTATTATGTGTTTGGGAGTTTTATTTTTAAAAGGTCCTTAGCAGTATTCCCTCTATTTTTTTTCTGTCCATGTGCAGAATATATTTTATGTGCACTGAGGCATGTGTGAATATACGCCACCAAATATACATGTTGCTCTCAGATGTGAGTGCTCTGCTAATCAGCTGAGTGGCATTTGAATCTCTCTAGTACAGTTTGGGTGGCTGGTGGTAAGGAACCTGAGGGCTTTCTGGCACTTGCAAACAAAATAAATCAAGTTGTGGGTCTGATGCAATTGTTTTCAGATAAAAATGTTGATCTTTTATGCTATAGATTATCATAGATGAGAGAACATACAGCAGGATGGTCGAATGGGCATAAAATTCTTGCTTGTCACCATAATATCCAAGTGTGTGTCATTATCTGCATTAAATAGTAGTTTATAATGGTGATTAGACTGATTCTGCTCTCACTTGCACTGGTGTGACTCCATTGACTTTAATGGAGTTATATCATTATAAATCTGATACGAAATCAGAATCAGTCCAATGCTGCAATCAGCTCAAAGAGGTGAAAGGGTCTAGTGAGTTCATGGAGGTTCATCACAGGTAAAAGGAGTTCACCCTTGCAGATCTAATTGCATAGTAGGGAGACATTTTGTTGCATGTATAGTTATCATTATCTTTAAATATACTTTTTAAATGTTTCATATTTGGTTCTCTCCCTTTTGTAGTGTGTCTGTTAAAATAATATATTATTTGGTATTTTCTTTCTTGCCCTTTCTTTTTAGTATTTCTGATAACTTGTTGAAATGGCTCAGGTCATTTTAAAAGTCCCAAGCATGAAAGGGAAACGTACTGCTTAAATTAGGCAAAGAATAAGAAAACTTTCACCTACAATGTGAGATTTTTCCCAAATACATCATCACTTACCAGCAATGGATAGTCATGGGGTAATAAAATCCTGTTAATTAAAAATATTTATTAACAATAGAATAATTTATACTAAATACAGTGCCCAGTTAATCTGAGTCTTTATCATTTGAACTTGGCTTTATAATTCTTAGTATAATACACTTTCAAAATGCTATTCAAACATTATTAAATCCCTATATGTATGTAATAATGAAAATTAGCAAGGTGCATTATGAGGCTTTTCCCACTTGTCCCTGAGGCATCTGGAACTTGCTAGCAGAATAAAGAAATTGATGAACCAATAGTCTGAATCAAGATGGCCAAGCCTCTGTGGAAGGAATTATACATTCTATGAATTAACATTTTTCTGCCTTTTTCCTTCAATTTAGAGAACTGAATCCAGTACCCACCTGTCCTGTAGACAAAGAAACAATAAAAGGACACGAGGTAAGAAAAGGAATAATTCTTATAGTTATTGTTGCTAGGATAGCCAGCCTTTTTTGGGGAAAGGACCTCCAATGGAAGTGTAAGATAAAGCAGAGAACAAATGCAGCTCTCAGCCTTCAAGGGCACTGGCACCTTCAAAGAAGCTGTTTGATGATGTTTTGTTGATGAAGTAAGACACTAATGAATAAGACACATCTCAAGCAGTTATCCCATACTCTACTGAATTGTTTCAAAATAAAGCCATCTTAATAATTTGTATTGGGAGTCCTGCCTTAAATGCTGTAGTATGTGATCTATACTCACAGACATGGCAGATTCATAAGGTGTCTATGGTCTTGAAGAGAATTTCCAGCAGAGAATACATTTCTTATTCTTTTAATTTCTTATGCTATTCTGGCTATTTAACAGACCTTAGTTTTAATGTAATCTGCAAACTTAATTTTGGGGTATTCTTTTGGAGGGAAAACATTTACATAATGGCTGTTGTTTAAGTCATGTTCTCTTTGGCATATATTTGTTTGTCCCAAAAGTTTGAGCATGAGCCTTCCCTGAATCCATGTGTTTCTGCCAGGGTGCATTCCTTGTGGATTTCACATCTCCCACCGAGCAAGGAACTTGGGTACTGAGATGTGCCCATCATTCCATGTGTCAGGGATGTTGTAGGTATTTCACCCACCATTTTATTCACTGGATTTACCCTCCTCTCCTTTTATTGTGTGCACAAATTGTAGTGGCAACAGTAACACAAAAAGATTATTTGGAATCATTAATATAATAGTAATACTTTGTGCTTGTTATAGTGCTTCTCATTTTGAAGATATCAAAAGAAGGCTGACAGTCTGCTCTGAGAGTTTAATTTGGCTCTCATCCAACAAGTGGAAGATGCATATGAGCAGTGTACTGTATCCTCTCTTCCCTGAAGCTAAAAGCATCACCTCTGCAACAGCTTCATCCCAGAGCAGGTCCTAGAATGAAAGACCAAGGTTAGCCTCAATCCCAGGTTTCCAAAGCTGCAGTACAATAGGTAGCTCAATGCATAATCCATGTAGTCAGCCTGTTTTTATTTCATGCTTCAAAGCATCCCACTGTTGTTCTTAGTCTGGTATTGTCAGTGATTTCCTTTTACTGCTATTCTCAGTATATGTTTTCAGCATGACATTGTCTGGAACCACACTAGCAGCTGGAATGGATGCCTCATTTAAAAATTACATGTGGTAGGTTGCTGTCCTTTTTGTGTCCTTGATGATGCAAGATCATATACTTTGTGAATGTAGGTTGCTTTCTTTGCAGGTGTTCAAAGACAACTGCTGTAAAAGAGAGGTTCTCAACTTGCAAGTATTTTGCAAAAATGCTCCTGGATGCAAATCAAAAATAATTCTGGGGCGATATCAGGTTAGTATTAAAGTATCTTTCTCTATGTTGGCCCAAATTCTGAAGTCTTTAGTTGGTCAAAACTTTGATTTGATATAAATTAATTTGCTCTTTCCCCTTTAAACTGTTATCATTATGCTTCAGAGTTATTAGAGCACTGCATTTACTGTAACTAAAGTTTGGCCCATGTACATACTTCTTGATTTGACCTATTGAGTGTACTACTCTATGTAAATGTGAAACAAATATTAAGCTGAAGCATGTGCAGCTGTAAGTCCATGTGTTATATTTTAAGTAATTGGTTTATAAGAACTCTTGTTAACACATATTCCTTCATTTCGTGCCAATGTCTTTGTCTGTCAGCTGACTGTAGTACAGTAAGACAGTACTATATTTGGTCACATTCAGGCTTTCTTTGCTCCTGTAAGAGAGAAAAAAACAGTAATTTTGTTAAAAAGAATTCTGTAGAAAATGAGAGACAGGAGACTCAGGCATGTAGATACCATGGTGTCACGGCTCAAAAATTACCCAGCCTGACACTGAGTGCAGAGATGGGGAGCTGGCTAGTAGAATAAACTCTGTAAAACCTGTCTCTGTGACTCCCAGAGACAAACTTGTCCAGTCTCAGTCTCCCTGAGATCCAAAAAGACAAAGACTGATTACTCTCTGCCACCATGCAAGTGATTAAAAGAAAATATAAAATAAATCCTTTTCCAGGGAAGAGATCACTTGGGAATCCCCTTCCTAAGGCAAAGTTCTCCCCCCTTCTCCAACCTCCATTTTGCTTGGAGTTGGGAAAACAAACAGAGGGAATCCACAGAGAACAATGGGATCTCCTCCTCCTGGACGATTTATGCACGTAGGCTTAAAGACACAACAATCAACCAATACTGGTTGTTAAGAACAAAAAGGAAAACACTTATTATCAAAACAAAACTACTGTTGCAAGCATAGTAAATGACTGGGTGGAATAAAATAGACTCAGGGGAAATCCATGCATTGTAATCCTGAGTTACAAAGAGAAAAACAGTTAACCAGCTTAGACATGATTTCCAAACCTCCAAACAAGGAAAACAATAAAACCTGATGGACTATGTAAACTTTTCCCTACTTACACATTTCAAGAAGTCCATTCTTGGGAAAGCCTGTCTCCCTCCATACCTGGAAGAAACTGCTCTGATCTCAAACAAAGAAAAGAGGAAGAAAACCCCCTTTCTCTTGGTTTGAAATTCCCATCTGCATTTTATTGGCTGAATGCCTGAGCCCCCTCCCCCAGGTGCTTAACCCTTTCCTCACTCTTCAGGTAAGTCAGATTCTCCTTAGCAGCTCCTATTTATGACAAATGGGGTATGTCTAGACTATAGGGATTTTTTGAAAGAAGTGGCCTTTTTACAAAAAAATCTTTACCTGCGTCTAGACTGCCGTAACATTCTGTCAACAATAAATCGAAAGAACGTGGCAGTTTTGTCGACAGCGATAAACCTCATTTTACAAGGAATAACGCCATTTTTTATAGAGATCTGTCGAAAAAAGGTATGTGTAGATGTGGGGAAGCTTTTTTTTTTTTTTTCTCAAAAATAAAGGCCTCCAGGCAAAAGCCCTGGTGGACACTCCTTGCCAGACCTTTCACCTCTATTGTTCCTGTCTGTAGCCATCTTTTAAAGGCACAGGCACCAAGGAGAAGCATTGTGGCAGCAAGCCAGCTCCAAGCAGGACCCTGACCGCTCGGCTGTTCCTGGTAGGCCCACTTTACAACCATGTCACAGGCACAAGCCCTCCGAGACCTCCCTGGCCCTTCCAGGGACACATCCCAGGACCAAGCCAGGGGCACCAAAAACCAGGCACCATCGTGGTCTGGCCCTGAGAGCAAAACCCTCTTGCAGCTCTGATCCGAGGAGGTGTCTTTGCAGGCCCTGCAGTCCAGGAGAAATGTGGACGTTTATGCCTGAATGGCAGATGGCCTAGCCAAAAAAGGCCACCACCCCCACACACTAGACCAAGTGCGAGCCAAGGTCAAGAAACTGTGGCAGGGGTATGTCAGGGCCTGTGAGTGCAGCTCCCTGTCTAGGGAAGCAGCACACTGCTGTGCCTACTACGAGGACCTGGACTGAATCCTGGGGGCATGGGAACCCCTGTCTCTGGAGAAGGTTGTGGAGTCAGGGATGGAGAGACCTGTGCAGCAGCGGCCACAGCTCCAGGATTACATCCCTGAGGACCAGCAGCTCTAAGATGAGGAGAAGGAGGAGGACACCAAGAGCACAGTGACCCTCACCCAGGAGCCCCAGATGCAGAAGGCCTCCCAGACATCTTCGGACACCAGGGAGGGAACATCAGGTGAGTGCTGTGAGGGTCCAATGCATACAGGACAGGGGAGGCGGGAGCAAAGGGGATGGTGCGATACTGTGACGTATCATGCTGATCACAGCCTGGGGGGCTCCCACACATGGCCGACCACAGGGAGGGCCGTCCTACTCTCACATGGGTGCGAGGTACCAGTTGCTCCCGCAGACTGTTGCCAGGTGCAAGCATGGGTTGAGGACCCTGGGACAGCCACACAGCTCCAGGCCACTCTGTAGCCTGTGGGAACTCAACTGTGGCCCGACACTTGTCTGTGCTGCTTGGCCATGGTGTGTGTGTGAGAGGGGGCAGGATGGTGGCCTGCACACCCTCTGGGCTCCAGTGAGGCTGTGGCTGCTGGCCAGCCCACACCAGGCCTTGCTGAGAGAACATCAGCATCCTCTGACTCTAGGATAGGCACTGACTGCAGTGAAGGAGGGTATGTCCTCAGGGACAATGTGAGCATGCATGACCGACTACTTTTCCCTCTTGCCCTCCACAGCCAGACCAGCCATCCAGAAGGAGCGTGCCCCCCCTCTGGGCTCCAGTGAGGCTGTGGCTGCTGGCCAGCCCACACCAGGCCTTGCTGAGAGAACATCAGCATCCTCTGACTCTAGGATAGGCACTGACTGCAGTGAAGGAGGGTATGTCCTCAGGGACAATGTGAGCATGCATGACCGACTACTTTTCCCTCTTGCCCTCCACAGCCAGACCAGCCATCCAGGAGGGGCGAGCCACACCTGTCCCACCACCCAGACGATTGCATGGAAACCGCCAGCACTGGTGCACATACCTGGATCTGATGCGCCAGCACATCTTGGTCCTGCAAAGGATGCAGGACACGTTTTCCCAGAGGATGCAGGCAGAGGCAGAGTGGTGCACTCACTTGCTAGATGAGTTCGTCCAGCAGCACGCAGAGGGAATCCACAGAGAACAATGGGATCTCCTCCTCCTGGACGATTTATGCACGTAGGCTTAAAGACACAACAATCAACCAATACTGGTTGTTAAGAACAAAAAGGAAAACACTTATTATCAAAACAAAACTACTGTTGCAAGCATAGTAAATGACTGGGTGGAATAAAATAGACTCAGGGGAAATCCATGCATTGTAATCCTGAGTTACAAAGAGAAAAACAGTTAACCAGCTTAGACATGATTTCCAAACCTCCAAACAAGGAAAACAATAAAACCTGATGGACTATGTAAACTTTTCCCTACTTACACATTTCAAGAAGTCCATTCTTGGGAAAGCCTGTCTCCCTCCATACCTGGAAGAAACTGCTCTGATCTCAAACAAAGAAAAGAGGAAGAAAACCCCCTTTCTCTTGGTTTGAAATTCCCATCTGCATTTTATTGGCTGAATGCCTGAGCCCCCTCCCCCAGGTGCTTAACCCTTTCCTCACTCTTCAGGTAAGTCAGATTCTCCTTAGCAGCTCCTATTTATGACAAATGGGGTATGTCTAGACTATAGGGATTTTTTGAAAGAAGTGGCCTTTTTACAAAAAAATCTTTACCTGCGTCTAGACTGCCGTAACATTCTGTCAACAATAAATCGAAAGAACGTGGCAGTTTTGTCGACAGCGATAAACCTCATTTTACAAGGAATAACGCCATTTTTTATAGAGATCTGTCGAAAAAAGGTATGTGTAGATGTGGGGAAGCTTTTTTTTTTTTTTTCTCAAAAATAAAGGCCTCCAGGCAAAAGCCCTGGTGGACACTCCTTGCCAGACCTTTCACCTCTATTGTTCCTGTCTGTAGCCATCTTTTAAAGGCACAGGCACCAAGGAGAAGCATTGTGGCAGCAAGCCAGCTCCAAGCAGGACCCTGACCGCTCGGCTGTTCCTGGTAGGCCCACTTTACAACCATGTCACAGGCACAAGCCCTCCGAGACCTCCCTGGCCCTTCCAGGGACACATCCCAGGACCAAGCCAGGGGCACCAAAAACCAGGCACCATCGTGGTCTGGCCCTGAGAGCAAAACCCTCTTGCAGCTCTGATCCGAGGAGGTGTCTTTGCAGGCCCTGCAGTCCAGGAGAAATGTGGACGTTTATGCCTGAATGGCAGATGGCCTAGCCAAAAAAGGCCACCACCCCCACACACTAGACCAAGTGCGAGCCAAGGTCAAGAAACTGTGGCAGGGGTATGTCAGGGCCTGTGAGTGCAGCTCCCTGTCTAGGGAAGCAGCACACTGCTGTGCCTACTACGAGGACCTGGACTGAATCCTGGGGGCATGGGAACCCCTGTCTCTGGAGAAGGTTGTGGAGTCAGGGATGGAGAGACCTGTGCAGCAGCGGCCACAGCTCCAGGATTACATCCCTGAGGACCAGCAGCTCTAAGATGAGGAGAAGGAGGAGGACACCAAGAGCACAGTGACCCTCACCCAGGAGCCCCAGATGCAGAAGGCCTCCCAGACATCTTCGGACACCAGGGAGGGAACATCAGGTGAGTGCTGTGAGGGTCCAATGCATACAGGACAGGGGAGGCGGGAGCAAAGGGGATGGTGCGATACTGTGACGTATCATGCTGATCACAGCCTGGGGGGCTCCCACACATGGCCGACCACAGGGAGGGCCGTCCTACTCTCACATGGGTGCGAGGTACCAGTTGCTCCCGCAGACTGTTGCCAGGTGCAAGCATGGGTTGAGGACCCTGGGACAGCCACACAGCTCCAGGCCACTCTGTAGCCTGTGGGAACTCAACTGTGGCCCGACACTTGTCTGTGCTGCTTGGCCATGGTGTGTGTGTGAGAGGGGGTGCCCCCCCTCTGGGCTCCAGTGAGGCTGTGGCTGCTGGCCAGCCCACACCAGGCCTTGCTGAGAGAACATCAGCATCCTCTGACTCTAGGATAGGCACTGACTGCAGTGAAGGAGGGTATGTCCTCAGGGACAATGTGAGCATGCATGACCGACTACTTTTCCCTCTTGCCCTCCACAGCCAGACCAGCCATCCAGGAGGGGCGAGCCACACCTGTCCCACCACCCAGACGATTGCATGGAAACCGCCAGCACTGGTGCACATACCTGGATCTGATGCGCCAGCACATCTTGGTCCTGCAAAGGATGCAGGACACGTTTTCCCAGAGGATGCAGGCAGAGGCAGAGTGGTGCACTCACTTGCTAGATGAGTTCGTCCAGCAGCACGCTGCTATTTGTGCTGCTATCCAGGAGGCAATGACCTTCCCAGGTCCTGTCCCTGTTCCTGCTCAGCCTGTGCCCCCCCCCATACTCTCTGCCATCCCAAACCCAGGTTCAGTCCCACTTGCCCAGCCCCCTACTGTCCCAGGCCGCATGCAAGGCCGTCTCAGAAGAGTCCCCCATAGCTGAAGCACCAGGAGCTATTCATCTGGGTGGCACCCTCATCCCTGAGATACCCTTCCTCCTTCCCCCTTCTCCCCCCCCCCCAGGTTTACAACCCCCTTCCCACCAGTGAGTGAGGGAAGAACTTTAATTTTTTAAATAAAACTTTATTTTTCATTACTGTTTGCTACCTAGAACTTTGAAGTAAATTGTAACCATTTTGAAAATCACACCTGTGTCTCTGTGTGTATGTCCACAAAGTGGGGCAGGGATGCGTTTGTGGGGGAAGGCATTGGGGGGCAAGGAACAAGCCCACATTTGGAAGGCCCTGGGGAAAGTCATTGGGCTCCTTGGGAGACTCTGTACCTCGGGGCCTCCCGAATACGCAATCCTGACTGGTGGGTTTTGCAGATGGCAGCTGTCCAGAGTTGCTCAAACTGCCTCCCCTCCACATCAGCCTGTGTCCCCTACCCTGGGAGGAAGGTCTCCCCTTTCCTCTCCACCAGGTTGTGCAGCACACAACAGGTGGCAATCACCTCGGGGATGTTGCGTTCCCCCATGTCCAGGCAGTGAGCAGGCACCTAAACCTGCCCTTCAGATGCCCGAAGGCGCATTCCACCTGCAAGCAAGCCCGGTTCAGGTGGGAGTTAAATAGTTCCCTGCTCGTGTCCAAGTGTCCAGTGAACGGCTTCATGAGCCAGGGCATAAGGGGGTAGGCCGTGTCGGCCACAATGCACATAGGCATCTGCACATTCCCGACTGCAAAGTTGCGCTGCGGAAAGAATGTCTCTGCCTGCAGCCTGTGGTACAGTTATGAGTTGTAGAAGATGCGGGCATCATGTGCCCAGCCTGACCAGCTGACACAAATGTCCGTAAACTGTCCCCAGTGGTTGACCAGGGTCTGCAGCACCATTGAGAACCTTCCTGTTTATGTATTGGGCTGCTTGATGGGGTGGTGAGCGTATCAGGATGTGAGTCCCATCGAGTGCTCCACCGCAGTTCAGGAATCCTAGCCCTGCAAATCCAGCCACGATGGTATCTAGGTCTCTGAGGTGGACAGTCCTGCGAAGCAGCTCCAAATAGATGGCCATCACCACCTGCAGAAAGGGACAAATAGAAACACACATAACAGGAAATTAGAGGGGTTGCCTGAGCTGTTGAGAGGTGTTCCTCCACCCCTTCCCTCCAAGACCCCAGGAGCCTCCCCAAAGGCAGGGCAGGGTGAGGCCAGGAGGGCTTCTACCACTCCCACTCCCACTCCATCCCCCATTCCCTCTGCCCTTTCCTAATGGCCCCCCTTTTCTGCCCCCTCCCATGGACTGTCTCCAGAGAATGACTTGCCTCCATCAAGACGGCCCCAACAGTAAACCACCCCACGCCAAACTACTATCCCACCGAGCAGTAGCTGTCGGGGATGGCCAACTTCCAGAGGGCAATACTGACCTGCTTCTCCAGAGGGATGGCGGGCTGCAAGTGGGTGTCCTGGCGTTGTAGGGCAGGGGCAAGCCAGGCACACAGCTCCTGGAATGTGGACTTCTGTATACGGAAGTTTCGGAGTCAAGCCTGGTCTTCCCACTGCTCCATGATGAGCCGGTCCCACTGGTATGAACTGGTGTCCAGCCTCCAAAATTTCCTCTCCGGGAGTAAGTTCGGTGGCAAGGGCAGTGGTGCTGCAGCCCGAGCGAGGGGCTCAAGGCTGGGTTCTGAATCCAGATCTGCACGAGCATCATGCTGGTCTCATGTAGATGCAGCAGAACTTCAAGCATAACAGTGTGGGGCTATCGCTTGCCCAGTAGCAGCTCCAGCTCCATATCAAAAAAAGGATGAAAAGCAAAAAACCAACCAAAAACCAAACTACTGTGGTGTCCCTGAAAGGAGGGCAACCAGAGCAAGCACTGCAGCAGCTTTGTTTTCCCTCTCAGAGGTAGGCAAGCCAGAAGCAGCAGCAGAGAAATGGCTATTGAGGGGGATCCCCTTAAGCATGCATCTCTGCAAAGGGCAGGCAGCAGCACCCAGAAGTAAAGGATGCCCCCATGCCCTGCCAGAAGTGGTTCCAGGTGCCATTTTTTCGACAGGCAGTCTGGATGCTCTTTTTTGAAAAAGTGGATCACTTTTTCAATCACTTAGTACAATCTAGACGCTCTCTTTTGAAAGAGATTTTGAATTCTTTTGAAAAAGTCTCTTGAAAAAGGCGTGTAATCTAAACGTACCCATAGTGATGGAAAATCTTTGAGAACCTAAAGAAATGTTGCTGCTTCCCAACATAAATTGTTTCAGTTTGGTTCCTGTTTGAGATATTAACTGGACAAGGAGTGGAAATCCAGCAAAGATTCTCTCTGAAAATTCAGATCTTTCTCTGACTTCAGTTACAGGAGCGGTCATGATCATGAGGGTTAGCCAGCATCCTGGTGACTAAGGGGTTAACTGTGTCCCTTACCTAAGCCAGGTAGAGTCAGCCAATAGGAATTCAGGTAGGAATTTCAAACTTTCAGACAAAGGAATTTTTGGGTTTTTTTCCCTTTTTTGTCTCTGGGCAGTTTCTCTCCAGCTACTGAGGGGGACAGACACTATGTCTCCCTCTAAGAAAAGACTCTTCACTATCTGTAAGTAGGATAAAGTTTAGATAAATCTGTTAGGTTTTATGGTTTGGGAATGGGAATATGATGTCTCTGCATCTGAAAATGGGGTTTTCTCTCTTTTGCAACTAAGTTTGGGCCCATTGTGGAATCCCCCAAACTAGAGGACACTAAATGAAATTAATGGGTAGCAGGTTTAAAACTAATAAAAGAAAGTTCTTCTTCACACAGCGTGTAGTCAACCTGTGGAACTCCTTGCCAGAGGAGGCTGTGAAGGCTAGGACTATAATAGAGTTTAAAGAGAAGCTAGATAATTTCATGGAGGTTAGGTCCATAAAAGGCTATTAGCCAGGGGATAAAGTGGTGTCCTTCGCCTCTGTCTGTCAGAGGCTGGAGAGGGACGGCAGGAGACAAATCGCTTGATCATTGTCTTCAGTCCACCCTCTCTGGGGCACCTGTTGGCCACTGTCAGTAGACAGGATACTGGGCTAGATGGACCTTTGGTCTGACCCAGTACGGCCGTTCTTATGTTCTTATGGTGATGATAAAAGTTCGTTCTTTCTTTTCTTTTTATTAACCTAGTATTGGTTAATTTTTGTGTCCTGGTTTTACTTTAGGGGCTGAGATTTCCCTGATTTCCTTATCATTACTTGGGTGGTGGCAGTGGATTTTTTATCCCCAAAATCTAGGGTTTTAAGATTTTGGGGGGAAGCTTTATACCAAAGCCTGGAAAGAGAAGGGTTTGGGGTACTTTTGTGGGCCCCCACTTCTGCATTTATCATGCCAGAGTGGGGAAAAAGCCTTGACAGGAGCCATTAATGGTAGAGTGTTGTCTTGGTTTTCTTTAAATTAACCTATTTAGTGTTTTAATATCTCTAGCAAACACTTTGGTATGTTAACTAATGGCACAATTAACTATATTCTAACCTACTTAATGCATTCTACACTCATATGACTTTTAAAATATGATGCTGTTTTGTTGCATGGCACAGGATCACCTTCAGCAATGCTTATTTGAATGTGTTCAGTGCACTAATGATGGATGTCATGATCAAATTCTTCGGAAAGATTTAAAAGATCACTTAATTCTGCACTGTAAATTTCGAGAAGAAATATGCCAGTATTGTAACACATACATGGTTTCAGTTAATTTAAAGGTAAGATTGTGAAAGATTTCCCAAACACATATTATAAATTCAGCTGTTTGGAACCTTTTTCACAGCAGTTCAAAGTAGCTGTGTGGTTTTATGCTTATAAAACAGAATTCATTTAAATATCTGAATAACATATATGTAACTTGTAACATTATTATTGATAACTGTAGGTAAAAATTGGATTCAGTTCCACATACCTCTTTGAAAATAATACTTAACAAAATTATATTTAAATATACTCTTTTTGACAAATTAGTAATTTTTTTCTACGCACAATGGCACAAATTTATCTCTGTCTGGGAATTACACAAGAGAAATTTGGCCTCAAATGTCTAAATCTGCTTTTTGAATGTTTCAGTCAAAATGATTTAGTCATTTCCAAGATCAAGGCTAGGAAAAAGTGTGTTGTTTTGCTCATATTAAACAAATTCTGGCAACATTTCCTCCTCTGCACATTTCCAAGGATTTAAGTAAGGCTATTGAATGCTTGATTTTTGCAACCATAACATTCCTTTAAGTCTGTGTATGTAATTATTTTCTGAGTGCCACCAATGTGTGTATTTATAGTAAGTATTCTGTAAAGAATATATATCTTGTCTATTTCTACTTTGCATTAACTGTACAATCTTTAAAAACTGAGTTGTTCATAAATAATAAGACTGGTATATAAGCCATTCCTGATCAAATTTTTTTTTTCAGAACCATGAGAAAAATGATTGTCCAGATTTTCCTGTGCCTTGTCTCCACAACTGTTCTCAGATAATCCTGAAAAAGGAGGTATTATTTTGTTGTATTACTAACTGTAAATTGGCAAATTATATAGTTTTGTGAAAACTAAAAGTTACATCATAGGCCTCACGAGTCGACATTTGGCAATATGAATCAGCTACTCCTGTTGGTTTCTAAAATTGATATGTGATCTTATCAAAGCATATCCTAGAATGCACTATGCTTTGCAGAGCTTTTGCCCATTGCATTATTATAAATCATCTGTCTCATTTGTTGACACTAATTAACCAATTTCCATTGTATGTGACAAATCTTAACATCACTTTGGCATTTTTCACCCTATAGAGGAGTTTAGATTCAATGCAGGTATTCAATAATTTTATCACTACCACTTTGTTTTGTAAATAATTGCAGATTGATGAACACTTTTCTGTGTGCCCTGAGGCAGAAGTAGATTGTCCCTATAAACAATATGGCTGTCCTGTAAAGGTACTGTAATCTAGACCTCTATTTGTACTGTGATTGGGGTGTGCCTTCAAAGGGACTAAAGGGTGGTAAACCTACAAAACTATTTTTCTGTCCTCTCACAGTTCCTTTCAATATGATTTAAGATATTAAAGTAAGCAGCTGATGCTGTTCGTCCCTTTCTGAAGCATGCAAAGAAGCATTTTACCATTTGCCCCAATAGAACTTTCCATTTAACCGTTCTGTTAATCTGGAAGGTGGTTTATTATTTTTTTACCTTTGCCCCCAGATTAAAAGAGGAAAGCTTGCAGAACATGAGAATGCTGCTCTGAAGGAACACATGCTACAAATTTTAGATAAGAATTCCAAATTGGAAGAACAAGTAAGTCATATGTAATGAAACTTCAACAGCTTTTAACTGGCATAAGAAGAGTATAGATTGTACATGTGTTGGAATTGGCCCAGCCTTTTCTTTAAAGAATATTAATCCTTTCATCCCACATTTTGCAACCCATTCAGAAACCCTTTACAGTGAAATCAATAAGCTAGATTAACCTCCCACTAGGGATGTAAGCAACTTGTCAACTACCCGATAAGCAAATGCTTATGAGGTAGTTGAGTAGGAATTCGACTAGTCACTTCCCTTCTTGCCGACTTAAAACCAGTTCCCCCCAGCACTGTCTCCACGGGGGGCAGGGAGGGCAGAGGGGAAATGGCACGAGCAGGGATTGAAACAGTTCCACTCTGTTTCATGCTGGTCCGACTGCATCTCCTCTCACTTTGAAATGTACAAAAGCCACAGGCACAGAGGGAAACCCGCGCCAGCAGGGACAGCTTTGGTCCCTGCTGGCGTGGGTTCTTGCTACCTCTCCCCCTTTGAAATAGTGGCTCTTGTGCATTTCAAGTGGGAGATAGGTAGCAGGAACCTACTGCATCTCTCCCTTTGAAATATACAAGAGTCACGGGTGGCTCCTGTGTATTTAAAAGGGAGAAGCACAGTGGGATAGTGACCCCCCCCCCCATTGACTAATCGAGTAGTCGATGGAAATGCCATCAACTACTCCATTAGCTGATTAATCAAAATTTAACATCCCTGCTCCTTACCCCTGCACTGACCCTGGTGTATTTTGTTGCCACTGCTCTCCTTGCTATTTTCCATCTCACACTCTCCCTTTGTGGGGAAGGGCTTGGGACATCAGCCTACATTTTGGCTGGGAGCTCCATAGTAGATTTGCCAGGGATGTGGGGACAGGGAGCTGCAAAGATACAGGCAGCTGTAACGATGGTGAGATGCCTTATGGCTCTCCAGACCATAGAATCATAGAATACTAGGACTGGAAGGGACCTCAAGAGGTCATTGAGTCCAGTCCCCTGCCCTCATGGCAGGACCAAATACTGTCTAGATCATCCCTGAGGGTCTGTCTACACTACAAAGTTAATTCGAACTAACAGTTGTTAGTTCGAATTAACTTTCATAGCGTCTATACATGCAAACTGCTAGTTCGAACTTAATTCGAACTAGCGGAGCGCTTAATTCGAACTAGGTTAACCTCATTCTACAAGGACTAACGCCTAGTTCAAATTAAGTAGTTCGAATTAAGGGCTGTGTAGCCACTTAATTCGAACTAGTGGGAGGCTAGCCCTTCCCAGGTTCCCCCTGGTGGCCACTCTGGGCCAAACCAGGAAAACTCTCCTCTTCCCCAGCCCCGTGGCCCTTAAAAAGGGAGACTTTGGCCAGACGGCACTTGCCAGAGACAGGCCTTCCAGCAATCTCTGCCCCTGACCCAGTGGCCCCATGATGAGCCAGGGAGCCAGTGACAGCCAGCCATCCCCCGCCCAGTCCCCTAGCACTCAGGGGCCAGCCAGGGGCCGTAGACATGCACGCCCTCCTGGACTAGTGCGGAGGTCATGGACCTCATTGAGGTTTGGGGGCAGGCCCCCAACCTCCATGATCCCTGCACTAGGTGGAGGAATGTGGCCGTCTACGGCCGCATAGCGACTGCCATTGCCCAAAAGGGACACAGGCACACCCAAGAGCAGGTGCGCCTGAAAGCGAAAGAGCTGCGGCAGGTGTACGCCAGGGCCACCAGGGGCAGCGCCGCAGCAAAGGCTGCCACCTTCTCCTATTTCCCCACCCTCGACTGACTCTTGGGTGGTGGGGCGGTGTGCGCCAGCCCGGGAGGCAGCGAGCTGGGACCGGAGGGCCCTGATCCGGGCGCACCAGAGGGGCCACCGTAAGCAGTTCCAGCACTGGAGTCGGCAGGGTCATCCGGGGAGGCCATACTGGGTAAGTGCCAGCACTGTCCCCTGCCCAGGGGGGAGGCAGGGAGGGAGACCAGGGACCGCGTGCGTGCGCCATGACTCCCACGGATCATGCAGCCAGCTGTGCACGTGCAACCATGTGCCATGCCACCCTTGGGCAGGTGGCTCCAGCTGCGTGACTCCCGGGGGCCATGGCCCAATAGGCACATGCGTGTGTGAAGAGACCTGACACGCTCCCGACCCCGGGGCAGACCCAGTCAGGATGCCCTCCCTTCACAAGCCCCCTCTACACAGAGGCAGGGGACATCTCCCCCCCGCCCCGGCCACAGTATACACGGCACAGGGGCATGGGTGCGGTCTTGGGGCAGCTTCCAGTCCCAAGGAGAGCCAGACATCCTGACCATGGCCTCTGTACAAACACAACGGCTCTGACGGTGCAGGGCACGGTTGCCCTCACGTCGCAGCGGGAGGGCTGGGCATCAACCACTGTGTCCCCAGGGAGAACTGACCACTTCTCTTCTTTCTCTACAGCTGCACCAGCTGCTCGTGCAGGGCGCTCCACACCTCCCAGGACATGCTCCTGTACCCGCGGCCTGCTCCGGACCACCACCACGAAGCAAAATTACTGGGACCAGCACCTGGCGTCCCTGCGAGCCCTGACCCACACCGTGGAGGCCTGGATGCGGGCAGACCTGCAGCTCCACCAGGAGCAGTTGGCTGAGGAGCGAACCAGAAATGCTACCCTGCAGGCCCTGCTGCAGAGCATGGTGCCCCTTGCCCATCCTGCGCCTGCTGCCCTCCCAACTACTGTCCCTCCTCCCACTCCTGCCCCTCTCCCACCTCTTCTTCCTCAACCCCCACACCCTCCTCCTTAATGTCCACACCCTCCACCTCAACCTCCGCATCCTCCACCCCATCACCCCGGAGACGCTGAGGCCCACTCCCTCGCCGTGCTGGGAGGCAGTTGGCCCGGCAAGACCCCCACCCCGATCCCTAAGTTTCCCCTCCCCCTCCTTCCCCTTGCTTCCCCCTTCCAGCTCCCTCCTCCCAGGTTTCCTCCTCCCCTCTCCCACCCTCTCTCCTGCCCTCTCCCACCTCCTTTTCCCTGTCTCCCGACAGTTTCATTCCTCTTCCCCAGTTGTGTTGAATAAAGAGAATTGTTATTTTTGAAAACACGTGTCTTTTATTTGACATCAGGAAGGGGGGGCTAGGGAAGTGGAAGGAGGAGAGGGAGGAATGGGGCACATGCCCCTGGTGGGGCAGACCGGAGAGACTGTTAGTGCTCTTCAGAGTGGAAGCTCTCCCATAGGGCCCCCTGGATCCTGACATCCCCTTGATAGTCCTCCCGGATGGCAGCCTGCAGACAGTGCAGCCAGGCTGCCGGCAACGTGTCCATGAGATGCAGCAGAGTCCCCGGGGGCAGGTCTGGTTCCATGTAGCAGAGTGCTGTGGTGTCCCGAGTGAGAGCAAGCAGAGCACTCCAAAACACAAATGTTTTGCTGTCCATCAGCGAGGTAAACCAGCAAGCAGAGAAATCTGAGAACTGTCTGTCCAGGATGGGGGTCAGGTCCCGTTAAGCACAGCCCTCGGTTTACAGCCTTAACTTCGGTTTAGAGTCCACTCAATGTGGACATGCTATTTCGAATTAGCAAAATGCTAATTCAAATTAGTTTTTAGGTCTAGATGCGCTAATTCGAATTAGCTTAGTTCGAATTAACTAATTCGAATTAAGTTAGTTCGAATTAGTGCTGTAGTGTAGACATACCCTGATAGACATTTATCTAACCTACTCTTAAATATCTCCACAGATGGAGATTCCACAACCTCCCTGGGTAATTTATTCCAGTGTTTGACTACCCTGACAGGAACTTTTTCCTAATGTCCAACCTAAACCTCCATTGCTGCAGTTTAAGCCCATTGCTTCTTGTTCTATCCCCAGAGGCCAAGATGAACAAGTTTTCTCCCTCCTCCTTATGACGCCCTCTTAGATATCTGAAAACTGCTATGATGTTCCCCCTCAATCTTCTCTTTTCTAAACTAAACAAACCTAATTCCTTCAGCCGGTCATGTTCTCTAGACCTTTAATCATTCTCATTGCTCTTCTCTGGACCCTCTCCAATGTCTCTACATCTTTCTTGAAATGTGGTGCCCAGAACTGAACACAATACTCTAATTGAGGCCTAACCAGTGCAGAGTAGAGCGGAAGAATGACTTCTCGTGTCTTGCTCACAACACACCTGTTAATGCATCCCAGAATCATGTTTGATTTCTTTGCAACAGCATCACACTGCTGACTCATATTTAGCTTTTGGTCCACTCTAACCCCTAGAGCCCATTCTGCCATACTCCTTCCTAGACAGTCGCTTCCCATTCTGTATGTATGAAACTGATTGTTCCTTCCTAAGTGGAGCACTTTGCATTTGTCTTTATTGAACTTCATCCTATTTACCTCAGACCATTTCTCCAATTTGTCCAGGTCATTTTGAATTATGACCCTATCCTCCAGATTAGTCACAACCCCTCCCAGCTTGGTATCATCTGCAAACTTAATAAGCGTACTTTCTATGCCAACATCTAAATTGTTGATGAAGATATTGAACAGAACCGGTCCCAGAACAGACCCCTGCGGAACCTCGCTTGTTAGGCCTTTCCAGCAGGATTGTGAACCATTAATAACTACTCTCTGAGTACGGCTATCCAGCCAGTTATGCACCCACTTTATCATTGCCCCATCTAAGTTGTATTTACCTAGTTTATTGATAAGACTATCATGCGAGACCGTATCAAACACCTTACTAAAGTCTAGGTATATCACATCCACCGCTTCTCCCTTATCCACAAGACTCGTTATCCTATTAAAGAAAGCTATCAGATTGGTTTGACATGATTTGTTCTTTACAAATCCATGCTGGCTGTTCCCTATCACCTTGCCACTTTCCAAGTGTTTACAGATGATTTCCTTAATTGCTTGCTCCATTATCTTCCCTGGCAAATAAGTTAAACTAACTGGTCTGTAGTTTCCTGGGTTGTTCTTATTTCCCTTTTTATAGATGGCCACTATATTTGCCCTTTTCCAGTCCTCTGGAATCTCTCCTGTCTCCCATGATTTTCCAAAGATGATAGCTAGAGGCTCAGATACCTCTTCTATCCGCTCCTTGAGTATTCTAGGATGCATTTCATCTGGCCCTGGTGACTTGCAGGCATCTAGCTTTTCTAGGTGATTTTTAACTTGTTCTTTTTTTATTTTATCTTCTAAAACTACCCCCTTCCTACTAGCATTCACTATGTTATGCATTCCTTCAGACTTCTCGGTGAAGACTGAAACAAAGAAGTCATTGAGCATCTCTGCCATTTCCAAGTTTCCGGTTACTGTTTCTCCCTCCTCACTGACCAGTGGGCCTACCCTCTCCTTGGTCTTCCTCTTGCTTCTAATGTATTTATAAAAAGTCTTCTTGTTTCCCTTTATTCCCGTAGCTAGTTTGAGCTCATTCTGTGCCTTTGCCTTTCTAACCTTGCCCCTGCATTCCTGTGTTGTTTGCCTATATTCATCCTTTGTAATTTGTCCCACTTTCCATTTTTTTATATGACTCTCTTTTTATTTTTAGATCATGCAAGATCTCGTGGTTAAGCCAAGGTGGTGTTTTGCCATATTTTCTATCTGTCTGCCACATCAGAATAGCTTGCTTTTGGGCCCTTAACAACGTCCCTTTGAAAAACTGCCAACTCTCCTCAGTTGTTTTTCCCCTCAGTCTCGATGCCCTTGGGACCTTACCTATCAGCTCTCTGAGCTTATCAAAATCTGCCTTCCTGAAATCCATTGTCTCTATTTTGCTGTTCTCTCTTCTCCCTTCTTTACCATATTTACAGGCACCACCACACACTATCTGCAGTCCCTCTCCTACCAGTGCAGAGGAAGTTGCAGACAGACACTTTGGAATGTATAGTGATCTGCTGCTGTTTACCCCCAAAAGATATTCTATTGTTTGGTACTCAGCACTTGGAGCTTACATGAACCAAAGCAGATAGAAACTGCAGAATGAATTCACACCACCAACTGCATGTATTTTAAAAAATGAACAAAACCAATAAGTGATTCTAGATTCTACAATGTAGCACATTACTTTAGTATTTTTGGAGCTGGTAATTCCCCCTAACTCATCTCTCACTCTAAGCACCAATAATTTTAGTGCAGTGCATTTTTAACTCATCCTAGGGTGACTCTCTTGTCTCCCTTTTAGTAGCTAGTCAACATTTGGTGGTCTTGAGTTTCCTACAGCATTTGAACCAAACCAAAAAAAAAAAATCTGATTCTTCAGCTAAGGCAATAAGAACTCGGTTTTTAAACACAGAGACAGGGTTTCTATCCTCACCACTACCAAATCCAGGAACTTTGGGTTAACCTTTTGAAACAGGAAAACAGCTATCATCTCTAGTCCTGTTAATACAGTCACATCAACCAGCCCTTCCATTTGTACCTATATACCTTCTGTAAATTCTAATTTGTTTCCTGTATGCTTTGGATAGGTTTGAGTTTTCACTGTTCATTTTCCATTGTTTAGATATCTGATCTATATAAGAGTTTGGAATTCAAAGAGTTTAAAATCCAACAGCTCGCAGACACAGTTAAAAAGTGTGAAAAGGAATTCAGACAGTTTGCACAGCTTCTAAGTAAAAACAGCAATCTGATGGTAAACACCCAGGTAAGACATTTACTGTATCTTTTTGACAAATTGCTCTTTATGGCCTGGAATACAGTTAGTTGTAATTAATTCTAAGACAATTGCATACACTGGATCTCAAAGCCATTTTATTGCATGAATTTGCATTGATCTCTGGAGTGCACTGTGCTCCATCTATGGATTTAAGCCACTATTGTTTTTTTAAATATAGTATGTGCATTCTTACTATTAATCATAATATGGGAATTCCATGGGAGTTTGACCCGAGTAAGGAGTGCTGAATAGATCTAGTTTCCAATTTTAGTTATGCTACTATATGTTTGAATAATCAAATCAGCTGAGATGAAGGTAATTTTGGTGAATGGTAATGAATTAGAAATTGATTCTTAGTGAATGAATGCAGAATTAATGATGAGGAAACGTTTGAAGGATTCCAAAGACAAACAAGGATATTCTTGAATGTGGTATATAATGTCAATATTAGTATTGTACAAAGACTTTTTAAATGTCAGATTAAATTATTAATTTTATTAGTATATGTTCATTCTCTTCCTCCTGCATTAAACATGAAGACTCTTGCCAGTCATATTGATAAATCTGTGTGGCTGGAAACACAAGTGAGGCAACTAATACAAATGGCAAATCAGCAGCAAAGTAAATTTGACCTGAGGCCACTGTTGGAGACTATTGACAATGTAAAGCAGAAGATTGCCTTTATGGAGACATACGATCAGCGTTTAGGTATGCTCAGATTTTTCTTTTGTATTTTTTGAGTAAAAGCTGGTGTTCCTAAAGGTGTGATGTTGTTTATCAGTTTGGATCACCTTCCCCATCAACTTGTTTGCCTGATATTGCTCTTGAAGATGAACATCAGGTTTAAGCAAAACTATGTTGGTGTTTCTGTGATAAATTTCCGTGATATTCATGATGGATGACAGGCAAACCTTTTGCATTCAGTTGTGCCCTCTGTTGAGTCGTCTTCTTCTGACCATAGTTCTTCATAGTTTTGGGTGACAATGTCTGTAACTGCACTGGAAGTTACCAAAAAGTGTAATAATCCTACAATGAAATTATTATAGGGTTCCAAAATTAAAAATATTCGTCTAAGAGCCCGGGGTAAATTTGCTATAGGAAGCTTGCACTTTTTGGTAACTTCATCAGTACTCGTGCTGCCATCTGTTATCCTGCTTTTCCCTTAAATTCTAGCGGACTGCCTCGTTGTCAAGATCAGGAAATTAATGCACAACAGGGTTCTATATAAGCTGCTTTTGTGATGCAGCCTGTAATGCTCTGCTCTTGTAGGACACATGAAGCTTGGTTCTCCTTTCAATCCTGTAGTATTACTTCTCATTCTCACCTGTGAGCTCAGAATTTGGGCCCATAGTAAAGATGACATGCCATTCTTCAAAGATGGGGATTTAACTGACCTACAGGAATTGTGAAAAGTATCTGGAACACATGATTGTTTTAATTACAAAAAAGCCTTCTGAATATGTGACTAGAACACAGATATGTGTATCCAACAAATCAGACCCAAAAGCTCATATAGCTAAATACACCCCAACTTGAGGGAAGTTGGAATCCAAATTCTGCATCTCTAGGATGCATGTGTGTCTGCAGTCTTCAAAGGGTTTTTTTTAGGATGGAATTAAGATTGGCTAAAAGTATGTTAATGACAGCAGACCTAAGTTCCAAGTAAGCTGCATGGCTGCACAACCCACAGCCCTTTAATGAGCCCTGTGCAGAGGCTCAGAATTCCCACCGCAGGCCAGGAGCTCAGCTGACTGGTGGTGGGAGGGGCTGTCTGAGCAGATCTGGAGCTGCCTGCTTCAGACAGAGGAGCTCAGAAGCAGGTAGGAAGGGGAGATAAGGAAGGAATAAGTGACTAGGGGGAGAGTCATAGGGTAGGGAAGTTTGGGGAGAGGAAGAAGAAGAGGAAGGGAGTAATTGGCTGGGAGGGAGTTGGAGGGGAGAACATTGGGGGAGTTCAGTCTGTGCATGAAGAGGAGGCAGAGGCAGAAATCTAGCACTTTCCTCAGTCCTCTTGAACTGGGAAGGGGATTGGGGGAAAGTTGACTGCATGGGGTAGGTGAGGAAAAGAGGGGGTGAGTGGGTGCTGGCATTGGGGTGAGGTAGAGGCAGGGAGGAGTTTGTGCTTTGTGTCCTGAGGTAGGATAGGGGAGGGTGGAGAGTTTGTGTTATGTCCTGACTCCCAGCTAGACTGCTCATGCCTGCAAGTTTGAGAAGCAGGATTTTATCTTAGCCTGGAGCTGGGCTGGGGGAGCAGATTGTGTAATGAGGTTTGGGGTGTCTTGACCTATTTGCTGCAGTCCTCTCTGTGTGGCTGGTTTGGAGGGCAGGTGGGAAAGCAAGCTGCATGAGGGGGGTGGGAGGAAGGAGGTGTGCCAGGACATTTGCCTGATTACATTTCAAACAAAATTTACATAGGTGTTAATCGTTTAAGGTAAGAAAGAAAAAGATTCTTTTAACAATATTTTTTGGAGTTTTGCAGATATCTGAAACTCTAATTTTAATGATTTTTTTAAAATCTCGTGTTACTAATTAATACATGGTGTTTTGTATTGCATTAAAGCCAGATCTTTGCTATGTGGTAGAGACTTCTGCCTCTTATGAGTCAGAAGTAGCAAGTACTAGGTATGATGCTAATTGTTTAGTATGATGAAACCTTCTTTGCAAGCTCTTTGAAACATGTCTACAAACCCCTGAATCCATGTGTTAATTTTTTCTGGGGCTTCTATTCTTTGAGCTAGTGACACACACAAGGTGAAAGTGTCAAACCAGGAAAACTTACATCAGTTTTTATAGGTCTCTGTTTCACTTGTTCATGTATAGCATGGATCCTAAACATTCCCCAGAGAAACTGCATAAGCCTTAGTGTTTCCAGTGTCAGGAAATATTGTATTGCATGACTATTTCTAGTTGACTCAGATTTGTTTAGAATCTTAAAGCTGAGCTATACGTGGATAATATGCATTTTGGTGTGTTTACTAGTTCGAGTTGTTAGGATGATTATACATATACACCAAGGATAGTGTTAATTTTCTTTTTTATTTGATTTTATAATAAATATTGTAAGCATTGCTCCAACCAAAGAGCCAAACTACATCAAAATTTGGAACAAGTGGTCAACAAAGAGCCAGTATAAGAATGCCCATTTGCATGTCTGAAAATATACAGCTTAATATAATGATAATTGACATGCTTAATAATAGCATAAATGAAATGTACTCACAGACTTTATTTAATGGGACTTCTGCTGCTGATGGGGATGCAGGAATCAGGGTTGGGGTATGAGGGGCTCAGAGCAGTGGGTTGGAGTGTGTGGGAGATGCAGGAGGCAGGCAGGATGCTGTGAGTGGGAAATAGTGTATGTGGGGGGACCCTGGTTCTTGATTACCTTACCTGGCCAGGGCTGGGCAGCAGTGGCTAAACGAGGGGCTAGAAGGATAACAGCCTCCCCCCCACCCATGTTGCAACAGGAGGAGGGCTGCCACCAGCCCTTCCCATAGCCAGATGAGGGCCTGCTCCAGGAGAGGACGCTGTGGCCAGATGTGGACTGGGCCCTGTGGGGGTTTCGGGGTGCGATCACCCCCTCTTGGTCCGAGAGGGGGGGTCAGCGAACCCTAGTGCCCCCTCTTAGTGCCTATTCAGCCCCCGGGGCCCCGATGGGGAACCCCTGACAATGGGTGCGATCACCCCCTCCCAGGAGGAAGGGGGGGTCAGCGAACCCATCAATAGTTACCCGTCTCTGCGGGGCGGGGCAGCAGGCCCCCGGTTCAGAGTTTCCCCTCGCGGGGTTGCGGCTTGTATCGTCCCTCCGTTAAGGCCGTGGGTAGTGGGCCGTTCCCTTCGTGGAGGGAGGGGGACCCGATCCCACCATCTCTCCAGGTCCCAGCCCGGGGCCCTAAGCGGCAGGGCTTGCTACTGCCCCGACGCGGTGGACGAGGGAGTTAATCCCTCCGCAACTCGTCCACCCAAGGTCGCCAAAAGCGCCTTGCCCCAGGCTCCTTCCTCCCTCCGGGTGGCTCGCGCCAATCGTGCCCATCACCTTTGAACCTACCCTGGTTCGGTGTCCTGTGGTGTCTCGCTCCCGGATGAGGCCTCTGGGGAGCGCTCTGGGGTGCCGTTCCGCCTCCGGACGTCCCGCTCCCGTTGGGTGCGACGAGGTGGGGTCCGCCCCCCTTCGGCCGAGGGGCTGAGCGACCGCCAAGGGCAGTGGCTGTCCCGGAGGCCTCGGGACCAGCGCCGGGCCGACAGCCGTGGGATGTGGCGCTCGGGCTCCGTCCTGCTGCCAGAATTAGCCCGCCGCGCCGGCCGCTACCCGGGGCCCCGCCCCTTCTGGGCACGTTCCCGTGTGCAGCCTGGCCGACCAGCGGCGTTG